TAGCAGGCGAGAAGCAAGTAGCGGGCAGACGAAGGGACGAAGCGGCGAACTCTTCAGCCGGTGAACCGGAAACGGCTCCGAGGGCAAGGGAGGCGGGGGCAGGTCCTGAGGGCGGAGTCGAGGGGGCGGGCGACCAATCGGCGAGTGGGCAGGACGTCCGAAGGACCTGCAGGCATCCTCCTAAACTTACGGCACGTAACACTTACGGCACGTACCCGAAACTTACGGCACATATCCCTTACGGCACGTAACCAAAACTTACGGCACGTAACAGGTTTAAGAAATGTTTGTAGGTGTTTTATGCAGTTTAGGTTCATGCTTGTTTGGGACACTGCAGTAATGGGGGGGCAGAACTCCCCAGAAGCCCCAGGTAAACAAGGCCGCCTCCTAGGGGCTGGCTGTGGGACTGCTTCTTTAGGGCCTGCAGATGGAGTTTGTCTTGTCAGGAGACGACCCAGTGCTGAGTGACGCATTGGTTGCATGTCCGATGGACCCCAGCCAGGGCTGTGACCCCCTGGGCTCACTGCACCACAGAAACACATCCCAGGCACAAGGAGCTCTGTTTGGATCATGTCCCCTTGCACAGGTACTATGGTGGCGCGGAGGTGGTGGACCAGATCGAGCTGCTGTGTCAGAAACGGGCCCTGGAGGCGTTCGGCCTGGACCCGGCAGTCTGGGGCGTCAACGTGCAGCCGTACTCCGGGTCGCCGGCCAACTTCGCCGCCTACACCTCCGTGCTGCAGCCGCACGACCGCCTCATGGGGCTGGACCTGCCCGACGGAGGACAGTCAGTATCCACCTGGCCGTCGCCTCGCTCCGCCCCCGTCTGCTTTGGCCCTTAAGGGTACCCGTAGATGGGTCATAGGTCACATGGTACCACTTTTTTTTTTTTAAAAGCTAATCACCATTGAATATCAGAGACTGTGAGAAATGGCGTTTCCCTCGTGCGTTTCAGTGTGATATGCCGCTCACTCTAACCCGAATGATAGTGATGAGTGTTCACACATGTTCGCAGCCTGACTCACGGCTACATGTCTGACGTGAAGCGGATCTCCGCCACCTCCATCTACTTCGAGTCCATGCCCTACAAGCTGAACGTGAGTACCCCCTCCTCCTGTGACGTCACGCGTGCGGGGTGCCTGTCCCCGGCAGCTCGTCGCCGCTTCCGCCCGGTGATCGGTGTTGTTCTAGGCTCTGAGGTCACTTTATTTTTTTTTTTGATCAATGCCCCCCCTGCCACCACCCCGCCCCCCACACCCCCTTCCTGGTGCTGCTCTCCGCGTCCAGCTGCTCATGGGTGGTGATTGATGGGCCGGCCGTCTCCCGCAGCGGGAGAGATAATGGGAAATCGACAGGCCGAGCCCGGCACTCTGTCCTCGGAATGAGCGCCTTGATGGAGTGAGCGGCACTCCCGAGACACACTCCAGAGATGGGAGATTATTTGCCTGTCTAAATAAAGATTTCTGCTCCAGCGAAGTGTCAGTGGATACATGGGCTTTGGGGGAAAAATTAGCACATACCAGTCTCAGTCTCAGTCCACCCCCCCCCCCAAGCTGTGCTGGTTTATTAGTGTTTTTTCCATTGTGTTACATAGTTCCCACATTCCGAGTGGGAGAAAATAAACTGAGAAAAGGAAGCTGAAATGCAGATTGTGTCTTCTGGTAAATGCATTTCCAAGCTGATGCCTACTGTTCATTTTGTCATATCTGTGTAATAATGCATCCATGTGACCATCCAGGCTCTCTGTAACAGCTACGGTAGGTTATGGGCTTTACTCAGGAGCCCCATGGTGAAATCACTCTTCTCACCCTGGGACTGGCAACCTTCTGATCACAGGCACTGCATCCTAACCCTCTGAGCCACACACCGTCCGTTCTGACAGCCTGCTTCTGTCCATCCCTCAGCCCAAAACGGGTCTCATCGACTATGACCAGATGGAGATTACCGCCCGCCTATTCCGCCCCAAGCTGGTCATCGCCGGCACCAGCGCCTACGCCCGGCTCATCGACTACGCACGCATGAAGAAGGTGGCTCTGCCCCTCGCCCTCTGCTCTTCCTCCCGCCCTGGCGAGTCGTCCTCCTCCTCTTCTGCTGCCCCCTGCACTTGCGCTCGCTCTCTTCCCTTCTCTCTCTTGCTCTCACTGCATCCAGCAGCTGCTCCCTCTTTCTCAGTGTTGTTCTGTTCCTTCCTTGATTTTCACACTAAAATTGTCACTGCAAAACACATTGCGGGAAATGCGTAACTCGAAGGTTTGCTTACATCTGCTCTCCCAGAGTTGCCATTTAACAAGGACCTGAAATACAGGTTTATCGTCTGTTGGAAGCTGGAATGTTCCCAAATAATTGCCATAATTTCTGGCTGTGATTCTTGGTTGCATTGAAGACATGTTACGAAATGAACTTAATAGCCAATGTTGCATTATTTATTTATTTATTTTGATACCTTGGGTGTAAATGATTTGTTTTCAGGCTTGTAAATGCAGAACTTTTCGTTGGACCACAGCCAGCTAACAGATATTGTAACTTAATGGGAAATTAACAAGATCTGGAGTAGGAAATGTGATCTTTAAAATGAACAATAGCTCTTAAAACTGGCACATTTAACTTACATGGCCAAAGTAATTGAACAGCAAACTTGACTTCTGAAGATTTTGTCTTAAATTAATGATGATTTTGAGCACTTAACAACTTTTCAAGACCTGAAAATTAAACATGGTTGATTTAACTGAACTGGTTTAACTTTTTAATATCATGAGTTCTTCACCCTTCCCCAAAAAAACTGAATCAACTTGCTAGTGTTAGTTAACTATTAGTAACTTATTCATCAAATAGTTCAGTCTTTTTTAGATTAGGTTAGTAGGTAAGTTATAGATGGATTATTGTTAGGCATGCACTTGTTTTTTTTGTTAACATACATTTTATTTTTGTTTAAATTGTTTATATGTGGTGACAGAATTATAAAATATTCCCTCAAACGTCGTTTGCAAAACTTTTTAAATATTGGAAGCAGGACAGACTTTTTAATGCAAATGATATATTTTAGCCATTTCCATTGTCAGGTCACCCTGCTTGAGGTTGAATTATCTGCCTTTGAAGGGGCTGGGTATTTGTGTGCAGCAGATCGTGGTTAAAAACTTTCACGGCTGCCTCTGAAGTTGGGCTCCCGCCATTCAGAGCCGCTCTGCTCCCCAGCACTTAATTGACAACTAGTTTCTCCCACTGGTGATTTGTTTTCTGTAGGGTGAGACTGTGTATCCTCTTCTCAGGTATGATTAGTCACAGCCCTGGCTAATTTTCACATGCAGAAGATTTAGAAAATGTTTGGAAAAGCGCTCCTGAAGTTTGGCTGGTGAGAAAATGAAGGAAAATGTCTGGTTTAAGGTTCCTTTCTTGACACACGTGTGCAAAGTGAAACAATGGCTTCCCTTACATGGGGATGGGAATATGGTAAGAATGGATGTAAAAGCTTTCTGATGGTGCACCAGTGCTAATCAATGACTTTACAAGCAGGGTTTCCTCAACTCTGGGTATTTGGAGAGCAAATGGTAGGTTTGTAACTCTGACATTTGTCCTTGTCGTGTTTTTTTTTTTTTTTGTCGTAAACGCATAGCCAGAGTTAAAATCAAACAACAGACCCAAGGTTGCTTGAGCTGAGTGTCAACGACATCTCATGAGCAGTTTGTCAAAGGGTTTGACCAGACCTACTTTATCATGTAGTGAGTCACGTCACTCTGGGGCAAAATAAATTGAAGTCCCTTTGAAAAAAATTATACTCCCCCCCCCCCTCCCCGTATTCTGAAGTATTGCACGTAAATGGAAAGTTCCAGAATGTCTGCTTCAAGCAATCACTCTTGTTTGAGTCTACCTGACTGCCCTGTTCAGTATGTGCTATGCTTGGCTTGACGTTGACCACAAAATGTCTTTAAATCTCAAAGCGCGATAATTGTAGACATTTCCATATTGCGATTTTATCTTAGTATTTATAGGTAATGACCAGATAATCTGCCCGCTCAGTCTCAAAAATCCCATTTGTTCCTGCACGATCAGAAGTCCTGGTTCTGCCTCGTAAATGTTCAGAATCGTTTAAGCTGTCCCTTGCCCCCACTCTTTCTGTTGGATCACACTGTTTAGGGAGTGTCTGATGCGATATTATGGCTGTAATGCACTGACTATGCAGTTTTATGCTTCAGAGACTTTACACTCGGACTTCTCTGTTACGGTCTCTCTGCCTCGGGGGAAGCCTAATGAACCTCTTGGGATACCCAGGAAGATCTCTCTGCCTTTCTGTCTGTATAAATTGTTTTCTCGCCACCCCCCCACCCCCCCGCTGCAGCTGTGCACGGAGCTCAATGCCTACCTGCTGGCCGACATGGCCCACATCAGCGGCCTCGTTGCCGCCGACGCCATCCCCTCCCCCTTTGACCACGCGGACCTGGTCACCACCACCACACACAAGTCGCTCAGGGGGGCCAGGTGGGTGAACGGGAAGGTACCATTCATGTGTAGGGGTGGCCATTCCTGGGCATCTTTTGGGCATCCATCAAGATGAGCAGAGGATTATACAGTGGTGAGGTACATAAAGTGCGCAGACAGGAACAAACCCATCTTTGTAATAATACAAATCCAGTGCCATCTGTATTATTCTCATTCATTTACCAGTAATTAGTCTGTAATTTATTAATGTAATGCCACAATGTTTTGAACAGGATAATCTATATGTGTACTTTATACTTTTTAAATCCGTGCTTGTGCCACATGCACTTGCTTGCAGTGTGAGGAGACTCTGTTGGGCGCTGTATGTATGTTCGTCAGTGCACTACGTTCTCGCTGCTGCAGGCACTAGGATTTGCCCCTGGAATCAGTAAAGTCAATCTTTATCTTAATCATGATATAGTGAAAAACAAAATATAAAAGCAGTACTACTTATACTGCAGTCAAGCAAGCAGAAGTACCCATGCAGACCAACATGTCTGGCAAATGGAGTATTGTTTAAGAAACACGTAAATATAAATGAGATGCTTTGCTGACGTGTTACGGCTGGGGGTGCGGACATCGGGAGAATATCCTGTTCAATTGGCTTTGCTGCTTTTCTACTTCATAATATAATCCCATGTGTGTATAGAAATGCAGCATTTCTGCCGTACATGTTGACGTAGCCCGTTATCGGCTCTGACTTTCCGCATTTGCCTGAAATTGCGGAGGACTTACCGCTGGTTCTGCTTCCCAGAGCTGGCCTGATCTTCTTCCGGAAGGGGGTGCGCTCAGTCGATAAGAAGGGCAGAGAGCTCCACTACGACCTGGAAGACAGGGTCAACTTCTCAGTCTTCCCCTCCCTGCAGGGGGGGCCCCACAATCACGCCATCGCCGCGGTGGCCATCGCCCTCCGACAGGTCAGTTCACACCCCCCACCTCGTTGCGCAGGTGCTGTTACTGTGAAGGCGTGAAGCACGGGGGGGTGCGAGGGGGCCTGCAATATTAGACATTAATGATAACACTTATATTCAGATAGAATTGCAAATTACTGTAAAAATGTTTTGCCGCTTTTAATTGCTTAATATATATTTTCAGTCATTTACTAACCAGTTTAGCACATATTAAGTTGTCATTAATAAGCCACACCTGCATGTGCTGCCGTGCAACATCCTTCGTCTGTTTCTGCTGCTCGTTCACCTTTGGTGGAGGAAGCTGGAGGTGCTTTGAAGTGACTGTCGAATTTGCAGATTAAAAACAAAGCCAGGTCAGGATTTGTGGTGGTATCTTCTTACATATATAGTAACTTTATCACTTCATCTGAGTGTGATAGTATGAACTGTAACTGTACCCAATTTATGATCGGTTATTATGCTCTAAATGAGATCAGAGACATAACTGGGGAATATAGAAATATGTGTGCATCCAGCATGGGTCCAGTTCACACAATCGCACATATTTCTTGCTTATATACTGAACCCTCTGCCTTTTCTATAATAGACTTGTTTTCAGAACATGAGTAAAGTCAGTTCGTCAGATCATGAGTGTCAGCATTTACGTTTTCTGCGAGAGCCTCAGTGGTACTTACAGAGCGAGATACATTTTTCCGTTGTACTTTCCTCCCTCGTCACGACGGTGGTGCTGCCATTCATTATGGCTCTGTGCTGCCCTTGGACTCGATCCATCTGTGGGATGGTGTTCAGCTGAGCCATCCAGGGACAGCCGTCAGAGGCAAGCTGATCGGTGCTTTCATATCAAGGTCCAAGAAATGACCGCGCTGTCGTGATCCGGCAGTGGCGGGATCCTGATGGATGTTGGCCGGACGTTCAGCCATGAACCACGCCTGGGCCACGGCCTAAACATGGTGCCGCGTATTGTGGAATCTTCAGGGTCGACTTGGCGATATCCAATTTTTTATGCCCTTATAATGTCCTGGCATTATACCGCGGTAAATGGTATTTTGATGATAATTTCTGGTAGTTCCAGGATTTTTTCCAGACATTTCCCCCCAAGACACAACGTGGGGTATCACCACCGCAATATAGTATTTTTTTCACCAAGATTTCAAAATATCATGGTATGCCCGACGTACCACGATAACACATTGGTATTATGGGTATAATCGCCCAAACCTAATTCAGCAGCATAGGTCCGCCTACACCAGGTCAACAATCATTCATCCATCCATCCATCCATCCATCTTCTGGTTTTTTAATCTGGTTGTGGCCATGGTAGCGGCATGCTGAGCAGGCCACACCAAACCTTTGCCCAAGAACATAGACTCATTCTGGGGGATGCCCAGGCATTCTCAAGTCAGCCAGAAGATATAATGTGTCCTCAGTCTTCTGGTAATCATCAATTTTTTGTCATTTTTGACTTCAGGCGACAACGCCAATGTTTAAGGAGTACATAGCCCAAGTCATGCACAACGCAAAGGCCATGGCAAGTGCACTTCTGAAGAGAGGGTACACTCTGGTGTCAGGTGAGTCTCCATAACCAAAGTGACCACAGGGCAAGCCCCTTTTAGGCCCATCGTGTGGAGCTCTTCCTGAGGAACACCTTAAGAGTGGCATCTGAATGGTGTCCTGGTCATTGTTCTCTGTCTTTGCAGGGGGCACTGACAATCACCTGGTCCTGGTGGACCTGCGGCCTCAGGGCATGGATGGGGCTCGGGCTGAGCGAGTGCTGGAGCTGGTGTCAATCACCGCCAACAAGAACACCTGCCCCGGCGACAAGAGCGCCCTCACACCTGGGGGTCTCAGGCTAGGTACAGGAGGATCTCTGGGATGGCATCGTTTTGTGGGTAGTGCTTCATTTTGGTATTTTTCCTAACCTGGCTACCCCTCTGCTTGCTAGGAGCACCTGCCCTGACCTCCAGACAGTTCAAGGAGGCGGACTTTGAGAAAGTGGTGGAATTCATGGACGAGGGGTTCAAGATTGCCCTGGATGTGAAGAAGAAGACCAGTAAGTGGAAGAGATAGTTGGGGTTGGGGTAGGTGATGTGAGCTTCAAAGAAGACCTGGAAGCTCCAGTCCAGGGGAGCAGGTCACTCAGTGGGCGAAAACATCTGTTCAAAAGTCATGAGTGTAACAGTAATGGTCGCTCATAAATTAACGACGCACTAGTCGTTTGAACACTGTGCAAAGTTATGCTTCTAGGTTTGATGAATCGGCACTTTAAAAAGACGTTAGAGGACACGGCACAGGAATCACGGTGCAGGTGAAGAGCTGTACGTCACTCAGAAGCCTGAAAAGCTCCCATGTCTTCTCCCCTTCAGCGAAGCTGCAGGAGTTCAGGTCCTACTTGCTGGAGGAGCCCGAAACGGTGGCCAGGATCGCCGACCTGCGGCAGCGCGTGGAGGCCTTTGCACGCCCCTTCCCTATGCCCGGGTTCCTTGATCACTAAACCCAGCATTGGGGGGGCTTTTGCTCTGGGTCAGGGAGCGGTGGAGGCATACTGTGAATCCAGCACTGAATAGCCAAGTCAGTCTTTCTGAATCCCACACAACCTATCTGAATCCTTCCTTTGGGTGGGGAGCAGACATGCCCAGGTTTGTGGTCTGCAGAGAGGGACAGTCATTTTGACCCTCTTTCATGATATATTTTTTCTTACTTTTCAAAATGTAGAACACAAATGAAGCTTGAAAGAAGACGTGGGCGTTCGAATCCCTGCCCTTCTGCTGGCCATCTTCATACTCTCTGATTAGCGTTAGATAACGCCACCTGCCCAGGTTCAGCATCCATGAAACTAATTGCTGAATATCTTTACAGAGTACCATTAGGTATTAATAACAATATAATGAACAATGTATCGATGGAAAAAAAACTAATATAATGTTTACAGATGATATTCGAACTAATGCCCACAAAATATCTAAATGTAGAATTTTTGTTTTTTTATGTATATAGTTTTATGTATTAACATATGGCTATGATTAAAATTCTCTCTTAGTTATTTAACATGAACATCATGGAACTTTCTAAATAAAGGGTGTAATATCTGTAATATATTTTTGGCATAATTCTGGGATTCTGTAATACTAACCACTGCATCAGTGAACAATCTGAGGTTCCCTCCGTCGGGGAGCCGCTAGAGTGAGTGAGAACAGCTTGTGCTGTGGCGTCATTTCTGATGGTCTGCTTGTCCAAATAGTGCTGAAATAAAGTAAAATTTAATTCTAATGACAGCTCCCTGGAGCTGTGAAGCTGAGAAGTTTTGTTCTTTTTGAGACTGATGTGAGATGTTCCTTTTAGTCACATGGTGTTCGTATGCCACATGTGGAGTGTGTTAGTAATGCTATCCTCTGCCCTCACTGTACATCGGGTAAGTTGTGGGCATTTATTTATAAACCGTGTGTGTGTAGCTATGCCCTTTTATCAGACCCTGTCTCTCGGCCTGTCAGTTGACTGGCACTGGGGCCCGTTTGATTTACACTCGTTGTCTGGAAGGGCTTCTCTCGTGTTTTGTTCCAGAATGTTCTGCACGTTCCCTTGAGGCCTTCTAAATTTTAAAGGTTTTGATTGCAAGGTCTGCATGCAAGGTTTCCGCACCATCCACACTGATCATGCATGCTGTTTTATTGCTCTTTCCATTGCTTACATAGAATCTTATTGTCAAGCATTAATTTATGTAAAGTTGAGCAATATGGTTAAGAGCTGGCTCCCTTTTCATATCATTTGATAGCAAAATCCTTGCAATGAAGTTTTCCCCACCTACTACCAAGACTGCGGTTACATTTCTGTCTACAAGCAGCAGACAGGTTGTGTCCCTATGATAAATAGATCCCCTGGTGGACGTGACTTGTAACTGCAAGAAGCAGCAGCACTGCTACAGTTGCATGAAATTAAGCGGCGAGTGGCAGAAGTCCCACCTCCTCCCAGTGAAAGCCCTCGCTGGGTCTTAGGTCCGAAACACCCAATGGGATCCCTGAGAGAGACAGAGAAGCGTGCCACACATCAATTAGCACTTTGGGAGCCGTACCAGAGGCGACGAGACAGAATAAAGGCGTGGATTCCACACAATTGACACTTAGTGTAGCTGGCAAGTGGGATGGTGTGCGAGACGTGTGTGTGCGTGCGCATAGATCACAATTGGGGACCAAAATGTCCCCAAAGTGTGGTAAAACCTGAAACTTCCTTACTTTGGGGGCCATTTTTCAGATCCCCATTTAGATAACCTCAAATCTATTAAAATCTGTGAATGTAATAAAAATAAATGGCATACATATTTTGTTTAGTTACTTATGGTTAAGATTAGCGGTTGAGTGTGTCTGGATTGGGATTAGTGTTTTTCCCATAGAAACGAATGGAAGGTCCCCATTTAGACAGGTACGCTAAATGTGTGTGCGTGTGAGTCTGAGAGAGAGAACGCCTGATCAAGATTAATGGCATGCATCTGGTGTCGGCACAGCCTTCGAAAGGAACCGAAGCTTCCCTAAAGCCGGGTCCCCAGCCCCATGGGAACTGCGATGCTGTTCGGTCCCCCCCCCCCAGTCTGTGATACTGTGTTTAGCGCCAATGTCGCTGTGCCTCCTGGGATTTCAGCAGAGCAGCGAAAACGCAGGCAGCTGTGTGGAGCAAGAACAGCTTACAGCAGCTCCACCTGCCTCCACCCTGGGCTTGGCGCACTCTGCTTCTCCGGTACTTTCTCTGCTTTCACTTTGCCGCCTTTGTGTCATTTTTATTTATTTTCCTGCCCATTTAAATTCAGTGTTGTCTAAAAATAATTTCTCCCTGTTGCTTCTCTCAGCTGAGAGAAGCTTTCCTGGGTGGTAATGAAGTACTGTGAATAGAGTATACTTATGAGAGGTGTACACTTCTAAATGCGGTTCCTCAGTCAAGTGCCCCCTTCCCCGTATAAGGTGGGCATCAGGCAGGTGAGGCCATGCTCATGTCTGACATACTGCTTATCGATCGATGGGTACAAAGATGTCAATTAAAAATGGGAACAAGCAATCAGTTTTTACCTTCAGGAAGGAAACAAACACATATTGTAGTCTCACCCCCACCAAGCAGCTGCCATCAGTTTGTGCTGATTCAATGGCTTTCCAGAAAGTTGCACAACAGCCATTGTAGACTTACAGTTAACCTCTGGAAGGTTGTGGGACATTGAAACGTAGATGATCTGTATCAACTTACGATGTAACCAGCTGGGAAGGCCGTGTTGCTCCATACATTCCCACAGGGCCTCAAAACGATTTGAGTTATCAAAGGGGCCTTATTTTAAATACAACAAAACAGTGTGTTCCCATTTACCAACACCCTTTCAAGGGGTGTCACGACCATTATTTTGGTACATTGGCTTATTTTTTTTTTGGTTGGGATATATCAGGCAGTTTTTACTATTTAATGTGCAGCTAGTTTGCTTGATACTTCTAAGCTCATGATGTTCAGCGATAAGACCACATTGGATGCCGTTACTGGTTGGCCTAGAAAATATGTTCCAGTTATTTGCAACTAATTGCTCAATTTGCATAATTAAAGGAATACCACCTTTTTTTGAAACCCCTCATTCATATACTAATTAAACAGTGATCACTACTTTCTTCAATAGATTGGGGAGACACTATTCTTCAGTAATTGTTAACCATATTTGAATAAAATAACAATATGAGATTGTTGGACATGGTCTTTTAGTCATGTACATTTTGTAACTTACAAGTGTCTCACTTGTGTCAAACGAATTCTAAATACATACAAAATTATGTGACAGCGTTAACATTTTGGGTAACTGATACACAGTGCTACAGAAACCCAGTTACATGTCACAGCTAAGAGTCTGACATCTGGAGTGTCTGTTCCCCAAGGTGACAAGAAAGGACACAAATTCTCTGTATCTAAATGTAGACGCGTCACCATAATAGACTCCACCAGGAGCGTTTTGCGTGTGAGGACTGTCGACTTACTTTGGGAAGTACGAAGCTGTCGCGTCTTTAGCACTTAATACCTGATGTGTTTGATGTTTAATGGAGCTGACAGGACTGAATGCTTTATACTTCACCCCTTTATAAGAAATACATTTACAGTTTATGTTTAGCTATAATTTAACAAGTATTTTTAGTGTTTTGTGTGTTTTTTTTTTTAAAAGATTGAAGGATGATTTGGGATCATAGCATTGACATTTAATGTAACGATGGGAAAAGTGTAGATTCTTAGTGGGTGGGACTACTGTGTGCTGTCAATCACTTCCTGGTTTAATCCAATAAGAACTTGGTTAAGAAGCTCTGAATTTCCAAAGAGCCAAAAATCAACTTCAATTTCATGGATTTTTTTCTCATTGGGGGGATCTGATCTGAGTTGACATGAACTCATTTACAAGTTTTTAGCAAGTTATGGCTTCTGCATTAATAGTTTTAATGTGGCCTTGCGCTCTCAAATTATGCAGTGCCACCTCCTGTTTCAGGTTATATGTTATCTTTTTTGAAAGGTTTGACAGCTGTATTTTTTCCAAAGATTTTTACAGTCTACAGTCTGTTTCCTGACAAAAAATATCTAAATTTGAAGATGGAAAAATTATATAATTGCCTTAAGAATGACAATTCCTAAAAAGCACCATACCTGTCTAAATTTCAAAGGGAATACCTTTAAACTTGCACTAAAACTTGCATGTTTGCACTTGACCGTAGGTGTCTCAGGATTCTGCCCGCCTGAGTGCGTCTGATGCGCCCTGGCATCCCGCTTCAGAGCCGTGCCCTGTTATACCCCACACTTGCTGGGATTTGGGTCCGAGCCACCATGACCCCACAGGGAGCCACTTATCGAGGACAGCTGGATGTGCTCGTTTATGCTGAAATGATTACCGTGACTGAAATAATTCAGACAGCATCTCAGCAGTGCTTTTAAATTGCTCAAATAGCAATAATGCAATAATTGCCATAATTGCTTGTTTACTTAGTACATTTATACATTCATTACCTAGGTCTTTGCATTAATGCCTGGTATTATGAGCTTCCCAATGGCAATGCGTCTCATTACATAAACATTATAGATCCATATTTGTGTTGTTTATAAGAATTGTTCCTTAATGACAGGTGAAAGTATTCAAGGTCAGGAAGAGATTGGATGTTTTTGTGCTTGTTAAAGAGAGTGTCCACCGTGACGAAAGCCAAACGGGGCTCTCGGGTGGGTTTCCACTTGTGCGAGGATGCGTCCAAAATACGTCTTTTGAACATTTGTCATACAAAGAGGAGCCAGAATTAACATTTTTATAAAAAAAAATTATGACTGTGTCTTCTGAACGTCCAATATTGGGTCCTGCTCATCCACAGACGTCCAAAAAAAACTCCTAGTCAGACCTTCAAGTATTGAACTGTGTATCTACATGCAAAAGGGGTCGTAGACAGACATCCGATTATGGAACCTGATTTGCACGTCATGCAGACATACAGATATGGTCCTGGACCGACTGACGCAATATGGGCATAATCTACACATCTGGCGGACGTCTTATGTTTGTTGGGTTCAGTCTCCCAGCTTCCTGATTCCCATCCCCCACCCCTTTCATGAGCTCCGGGGGCCCTTTCATGAGCGTGGAGTGTAAATCTTCACAGGAAGAGCGGCGAAACAAACAGGAAATAGAGGAAATACAAGCAGGCCGGCTGGTGCGTGTCCCGTCCCGGTAGATAATGACCGGCCCGGTTGGTCTGTGGGACCCGGTGATTACATCCGCTGCAATGCCCCGACCCACATGATTGCTTGTCAGTGGGTGTCGCGACCGCCAACGGGTGCGGCGTGGCGAGGCAACTGATCGCTAGAGATCGCCGGAGACGGGAGTCAGCGTCTGAATGCGCCGTTGCCGTGGAAGCCCCCTTCCCCGCCAGACTGCCTGGTTGCTATGACTTTCCTCTAAGGGAATGCGAGACGAGCTGGCGTGCTTGGAAGGGAGATTCCATCTAGGCCTTGGCGTGCCACAGCGGGGCGACGGCTCGCTTCTATATTTCATGAATTAGCCGTGGATCACGGATACAGCTCTCCAATCATCTCTCCAAATTGCCAGAGAAATACCACTGCAGGTGTAAAGCTCAGCAGATGCTTCAAGGGGTCATGAACATATTTATTTTTGCCGAAAGTGAAATTGCATCGCACGGGGCACCATCTTACCCATTAATTGTAATTTTCCATTTTAAGTGGGTGTAATTCATTAAATCAACGTACATTAGTGTTATTCCCCATTAGATGAGATA